TGGTACTTTCTCAACTCGTGCGTTAGCAACTCGGGCGTAATATAAAACTACATGAATTCGTCGCAACTCGCGCGCCCTCCAAAATTGTGCACCTGTGAGTTCGCAACTCGGGCGTCGACGGGATATGAAATTTGACCATAGTTTATGTACCCTGATTCTGATTACAATCTGATTCAGGTAGTAATGAATTATCGAAAATTTAAGATAAATGAAAGACATCGCAGAACAAGCTTTGATTTTAACAGATAGCGAGCATTGAAAAGTTAGTTGATGTAAAAAAATTGAAGATTTTTCCATTACGGTTTATTTTAGAGAAATTATGTGTAGAATAAAAAATATAGAGCATGATATCGGGATCATTTTCAAATTATTCGCGATTTCTAAAATATTTCCGGAAATAATTTGGTCACTAGTGGTATTATAAGTGAAAATAATGAGAAAAATTCGAATTTTGCACATTACCTCAAATTTCCCGAATTCGGTCTATTTTTGAGAAATGTATGGAACAAAAATTATAGAGAATTACATTGTAAGCAACTTTTATATTTGAAGAAGTTTCTTTAAAATTCGAATTTTGCACTTTTTGTCAAAATTCTCGAATACTGACCATTTTAAGGAAATCATGAATATGATAAAATAATATATAAATATTACGAAACGCCTCAGAAACATTTCTAAAACATTCCTAAAATGTAAAAATATCCTGTAAATGGAATATTTCATATATTTTATAAATAATAATTTGAAACCTATCAGAAATATAACATACTGATATTTCAGAAATGTATCCAACAACAGACGCAAACTTCCAATTATTTAGAATATATGCCCAGACAGCACACCAAATCCTTTGGATATTTACTGCACGTCCCAATATCCACTGAATGTCCAGTACATGGCGGATATCTATTTTATATCCATGATATGTAATTTATAGACATGCAAATGTCCATAAATAATAGTAATTATATAGCAAATTATTAAAAAATTACGCCATTGTGCTCGCCATTGTGGCTAATAGTACCGTTCAGATATTTAAAATTCATTTTTTTAAGGTTTATTCAATATCCCATGGACATCCACTAAATAATCAAAGTCTAGGCGCGAACGCAAAGCATCGTGGATATTCAATAGATGTAATTTTTGATTTTGCTTACTAAGTATAGATGGCGATACCACTATCGCATCTACTCATGCTTAACCCGCCGTAATTGAGTTCGATCGAAATTTGTTTCCCAATCAGACTCCATTAGAGACTGGAGTCGAGAATTTCCATTTATTGCTGAAGAGTCCTAATAAGGATAACTTTCTCCTTAGTGGGCAAAATCAAAGGCAGAGGGTTGAAAATATTTTGAGTGTTGAAAATATTTTTTATCACTGCTATTTTCTTTCGACGTTATTCAATAATCATTGGTTACTTTTATGAACCTCTACTAAAGATACCCATAAAATATTTTGCTGAATATCCGAATTCTTCTATATCCTGGGATATAGACGGACATTTGGTTGGATATCCATATTGGATATCCACAAAATATATTCTGTGGATATCTCTGGGATTTCTTGTATTGTCTGGAAGATACCCATTAGATATTTTGCTGGATAATCCATAGGATATCTTCTATATTCTGGATATAGACGGACATTTGGATATCCATATTAGATCCACGGAATATTTCTGATATTCTGTGGATATATTGGATATCCACAAAAGATATTCTGTGGATATCTTTGGGATTTGGTGTGTTGTCTGAGTAAAGGCCCTGGTCCGGATGGAATTCCTCCCATTTTCTTAAAAAATTCTCAAGCCTCACTTTCTACTATGTCAATTATTCCAAAAATGGTTTCTTTCCCCAACGTTGGAAATAGGGCTGCCATACCTCCCGATTTGGGCGGGAGCCTCTCGATTTCCTACACTCCCTCCCGCTTTTTAAACTAAGCTATAAAGCTCCCTGTTTTTCAAAATCTCCTAATTAACCCCCGAATTTACATTGAATGGATTTAAAAAAATTATTAATATGTTAATGATACTATCAAATTATAGGTCATTCCCCCATATCTACAAACGTCGTAATCTCTACAAGCGCCATCTTTTATATGTCTGGGGCCTATGGATTTGAAAACAAACCCTAAATTAGACGACTTCTTAAAAATGTTTGATGAGTTTGCCATTGGTGTAGATATTGACCTACTTTTAGAAGAATTTGTAAAGTTGTCATCATATTTGGAAAACCCACCACTAAACTTTAAAGACATTAAAATTGACCAGCAATGAGTTTATTATTTTAAGAACCATAGAGTCCAAATTTTTTGAAAATATGCTCTTGTTTTTTCTCTTTCTCACTTAGGGAACGTACCCATACTACGTAACCCATTCATGGGGGGGTGGGAGGTCTTAAAAATACTACGATCAGTCACAGGAGTGTGGGGGGGTGGCTTAGATTTTTGTAACGTTAGTCGATTTCGCCGAGAGAAACGTCGCGCTTTTTTGGACTATCTTTAAATGTGGCGCGCAATGTTGGGTGCTTCTTAAACTCACAGTTGGTGGCGCTGATGCAGGTGTGTTAAACCGTCAGCTGATTGAAAACAGGCACTGTTTGTGAGTGTGAAATCTGTATACCCATTTATAAAATGGTAATGTTAGTACCCGTAACGCCATCTATGTTTCAGACCAAGTCTGAAGAAACTCCTGATGCTACTGCCCCCGTAATCAATGATGTGTGCGAGTGGATTGATGCCGGGAACGTATTTATTGAAGATGTGTAAGATAGATATTAATGTTATTGAACAGAAAACAATTATAGTTTTCATAAATTAAGTTACGGTAGCAATATGTTTTTACATAAGTTTTTCTTCTTCATAATTTTTAATTTAATATTTAATTTACTAGTAATTATAAGCATGCATGTAGTCTTTTGTAATCAAGGGCGTATTAATAAACGTAAATATGAGTCAAATTATTTTTATTTGCTACACTTTCTCCTTACAAAATGATTAAAAATCATTCTTGCCAATACTACGTAAAAACTTGTAGGGGGGGAAGGGGTCTTGGCATATACTACGCGTGGTTACCGAGGGGAGGGAGGGGTCAAAAAATCTTAAAAAATAGGTCACGTAGTATGGGTACGTTCCCTTAAATGCAATAAGTGATCCCAGACAACACACCAAATCCCAGAGATATCCACAGAATATATTTTGTGGATATCCAATATATCCACAGGATATCAGAAATATTCCGTGGAACTAATATGGATATCCAAATGTCCGTCTATATCCAGAATATAGAAGATATAATATGGATATTCAGCAAAATATCTAATGAGTATGTATCTCCAGACAATACAAGAAATCCCAGATATATCCATAGAATATATTTTGTGGATATCCAACCAAATGTCCGTCTATATCTCAGGATATAGAAATTCAGATAAATATTTTATAATTATTTTTAGTAGAGGTTCATAAGTAACCAATGGTTATTGAATAACGTCGAAAGAAAATAGAGGTAAAAGATATTCCCAACAATCTGCCTTTGATTTTGCCTACAAAGGAGAAATTCATCCTTATTAGGAATATTCAGCAATAAATGGAACTTCTCGACTTCAGTCTCTAATGAAGTCTGTTTGTGAAACAATGTCGATCAAACTCAATTACGGCGGGTTAAGCATGAGTAGATACGAAAGTGGTATCGCCATCTATACTTAGGAAGCAAAATCAAAAATTACATCTAGTAGATATCCACGATGGTTTGCGTCCGCGCTTAGACTTTGATATATTTATATTTATAGTGGATGTCCATGGGATATTGAATACACCTTAAAAAAAATTAATTTTAAATATCTCAACGGTACTAAATTTGCTATATAATTACAATTATTTATGGACATTTGCATGTCTATAAATTACATTTCATGGATATAAAATAGATATCCACCATGGACTGGACATTCAGTGGATATTGGGATGTTCAGTAGATATCCAAAGGATTTGGTGTGCTGTCTGGGGAGAGATCATTTTTAGTCTGTTTATATCCCGGAGGAAAGAAATTTTCTTTCTATAAAAACAGAATCTGAACCAATGATTAAATTTAATTTATACTGAAACTTGCCAAGAATGCAAAATTTTTGCAAAAGGAAGGAGTCTTCTTGGAAGAGTTCAAAATATTTGTAAAAGGTTCAATAAAACAGCTAATATCATTGTGCATGATTATGTCATTGCAGGTTCTGAACTAAGTGTTGAGCAAACTATAAATTATCTTGGTGTTATTTTTGACATGGACCTATCATTTATTCCTCATTTGGAAGAAATTGTAAATAGAGCTTTTCGACTGCTGGACTTAGTCAAAAGGAACATCAAGCATATTTATGACACAGCACCTCTGAAGAGTCTATAACTGCTTAGTTAGAAACATTTTAGAATACTGCTCAGTGATTTGGACACCTAACTACAATTGTCATATTGATAAATTAGAAAGAGTGCAAAATAAATTTTCAAAGTATCTACTATATAAACATAAGCTTCCATCGCAAAATATAGATTACCAAACCAGAATTATGTTGTGCAGACTTAAGAGTTTGGAATGCAGACTTCGAGAATAGCTTGTTTTCCTATATAAGTTATTGAACGGTTTGATTGATAGTGACAGCCTGGTACATTTTATTAGATTTCTTGTTCCTGCCAGACTTACTAGGAAGATTAAACTATTTTATGTAAATACTCATATGGACAGAATTTATTTGTAGACCCACTGATGTCCAATTACAATGTTTTTTTCAAGTTATGACATTTTTAATACTGGTTTGTTTTCTTTAAAGCGTCAACTTTCATTACACTATTGACTTAATTTTATAATGTGACAATTTTATTAATTTTTTTTTATTTTTATTTTAATTTATGTTTCAATTGATATTTTAAATGTACCATTTAGAACTTTATGTATCTGTACTGTAAACAAATAAATAAATAAAAAATAATAAGAATGCAAATTAGAATCTAAGTACTTATATTACAAAAAAAATTAATAATAACTCGTTTTAGTTTTCCTATTCAAAAATTTGTACAACCAATGAATTCTCTTTTCTAATTGATACCATTTAGTGGGCCTTGCTATGGGATACACTGTCTGACCCAACATTTTTCGCTTCCTAAGCATCACTTGATATTCATTTCCTCCTACACCTCTTAACCATCTCGGCATATTGTACAATATTTTTGTAGGATGTAACTTTTCATTGCCTAGTATGTCTATGTAATCGTTTTGTCCAAACAAGGCTCTTTTTTCTGACCAACTGTTCTTTGGTTTGTATAAGGGTATTGGTAAACTTTCTCCATCTTTTACACGGGGCAATAAACCACTTTGTAACATTCTATCATCGTAGCCGTATCGTCTAATTCTAGGACCTTCTGCGATTCTTTCTGCATGGTACCTATATCTAACAGATACAAATTGTGGGGTAAATATATAAATATTGTTCAAAGAAGGCTTCAAGCCATTTAAACACTTCACTATTAAGGACATTTTTCTTTCTCAAATTTACTCTTCAAAAATCAACGATACTTCTTTACGATATCATTAAAATCTTTTTATTACAAAGTATCTATTCATTGCTTTTAAAATGATCACCTAACCTAACTAAATTTAATAATCCAAAATATCCAAAAATCTTCTTTTTCTCTCTTTCAATGTATGATAAGAGATAACTAGACTAAACAAAGCACAACCATTGTCGATATAAAGATAAACAGAACCTGTTAGGTTCATTATAAACTAGTTTTTTTTTTTAACTATTAGTTGTGGTTGTGATGGTTCTATAAGGGCCCACGCTTAGAGGAAGGAAAAGATTATAGTATATTACGTAACAAGAGTTTTAAGTAACGCATTACGCACGACGTGAAAAAGTTTACGCACGAAGCCGTGCAGTGGCGAGTGCATAAATTTCACGAGTGTGTAATGGGCTTACAACTCGGTTAACGTACTATACTTTTTCTACGCCCACTTAAAACATTCTCAAAAAAGGATTTAACGTTATGCTTATGTCGCCAATCCATAAATTTTCAATAGGTAATTTCTTACCTTTCTTTGGATTTTAGCGGTAACAAACTATTGCAGCGTTTGAGAATCCGCACCGGATGCATTTTTTACATCTCGAGCGTTTTTTTATCAACATCGGACACATCTGTCCCATTACATTTACGTATACTGAATCACGTGATCAAAGATTAACTACATCTCAGATGCATCCGATGTGGATTCTCAAACGCGGCATATGTGTGGCAGCTTGAGCTTTTTTTAAAATCTCCGGTGGAGTGCTCATAATTTCATCACTTTCACTGCTAACAAACATATTCGTAGGTAAAGTTGAGAAAATGTTCGGATGCAATCATATTTTGTTACAAAAATTGACAATTTAAATGTATAATATGTTGCTGACATTTAGGGACATCACTCTTTTATTCCAAAATGTATCTCGCTAATGCTAAAAGTTTGTATGATTTTTAAATGACTAAATTTATGTAAATAGACTAAATAAAGTCGTACGTAGACAAAAATTTGATTGCAATTTGATTAAACCAAGAAATTTAAGTTTTCTTATCAAAACACACGTGTATATGTTATGAGATCTCATTACGTGCATGTTATTGTTAAATGTCATACGAACTTGTCTCGTTACTGTTAAAACTCGGCCTAACATGTACGTTACGGATAACGTAAACGTTCAATCATAGGATCTATTGGGTCCTACGACCCTTAGGGCCGATTCCACCGTTGTGTTAAACGAAGATTAAAATGACATTGTAAATGTAAAAATGTCATTTTAAACTTCGTTTAACACAACGGTGGAATCGGTCCTTAGTCCTTCCTCCTTTTGGCTTTTAAAATTTGGCAAGTTACCCACAGAATGACCTCATAAAAATAAGCATTAATCTCTAGTCTACTCATAGAAGGTCTTAGATTGGAAAATAACCTAACTAAAACTTCTTTTTTAGTACCCAAGAATCAAGAACTAAACAACAACTTAGCTACAATGCTACAAAGCATTCAGTTGTTTGTTGTATTTGGTGATAATTCTATTTTTGTAAAAAAATATATTGATTACATAGCAGTGTAAAAGAAAAATGTTATTAAAATTATAGAAGTAAGAGGCCTTTACCGCAGTAAAACATGTGCGATTCTCCCCCACTCATCTCAAATTTCGTCTCTCGCCACCTTCGCCAACCAATAAAATTTAAAACGTAAATTCCGGAAAACCAACCTTCATAATTTTGACAGCTCTAAAGTTACGTGTCAAAATTATATTACATATTTAAATATTTTTTATAATACAATTTATTTATGTTCGGTAAGTAATAATAATAGATCAGTCTAGCAATTATTATTACGATTTAGATAGTATAGATTGTGTATTTTAATTAAAATTACGCAATTCGGCAATTTGAAGTGTACACACATATGACTCGTAGTTTTTCCTAAACATTAGATCAATTAGATTGTATTTCGTTGTTAATAATTTAAGCATGCACTAAATTTGATTAATAATTTAGTTTAATTTGTATTGTAGTCCATTAACTAATCGACCGTTGTTCCCATGTCCAGAAAAAGAATAAAAAATAAATTAGAAGAGATGACTACCACAATACATTCACAGACGCAGATGCCTCGATTAGTAAGTATTTTAAATTGTAATTTGTAATACATAAGTACGATAATCCTCACTTTAATTAACAAAAAATTGAAACTGAAAGTTTTATGATAGGTGTACCAATTTATTTTAACAATGATTCATTCAGCTTTCATTCAATTCTGATAGTGATCTTAATCCTAATAACAAATCTGTATTTTTTGGTGATGTTCATACTCTACTGTACTTTTATAGTAGAATTTCTCAAAATAATACATCTAATGGTTTTAAAATGGGCTTATATTTTTTTATTGGAAAATTAGATCTATTTCTATTCAAACTTTTATTAATAACACACCCAGTCATTGTATTATATAAATAGAATCTATTTATTTAAGTATTATTGAATTAAAAAGGTTATAAAGTTAATTATGGAAATTACTTTGTTAATAATAATAATAATGTACACTGTAAAGGAAGTGATGGTGAAATCAATATTGAAAGGTTTATTAGAAAATATGTTTGTCTAGTTACCTATTTGTTGAGATAATTAGTCAGAATATGTACACAATACCTTATTAAAGTAATTATTGTTATTATATTTAAACAGTTAACTTAGCCTAATATCCTACTTATTAAAAAACTGAATATTACAGAAAAATAAATACTTGTAGAAATAATTTAATGTTCCTATCGAATTTTTGTTGGTCTTAGGAAAATTACCCAATGAATCATTTACCTAAGACCTTTAATGTCTATATTAAAACTTTTATAAAAATAAAAGAAACCTACATAATATTAAAAATAATATAAACAAAAGTGGCTACACCTAATTGATTATAAATTCCTCCGAAATCAACAAGAAAATTAAAAAAATATACCTATATATATTTCATTTGTCATTTTTGGTTTCATTATGGCTCTCATAAACTTTTATCAACATTAATGTTAAGTACCTACTTATTACCTACCCTATAAATTTATTGGTTGATTAAACTCAAAATAACTTTCTTTTTTATTAAATACTTATAGTACTTTACTAATTTTTGAACAATAAGGTACTTTTTATGAAACTACTAGTAAGGAGGTGCATTTATGTTTTATCAAAATGAAATTCTTATATATATTTATTTTCTTATTCAAACAAGTCTTTCGGCCTAATTACATGAATAAACATATTATATAATTACCAAAATACAAAGTATTTACATCTAAGATAAGAGGTACAGCTATCAAAAATTACAGAGGTATGTTTACTTCACTTCAATTAATTATATTTACGTTAATCACATAAGGTTAATATATGATTTAGTATGGTATTGCGAAAAATATTTTGTGGAACATTCCAGTCCAATTCAATAAGAGAATTAAAATTGTTGGCCAAACAAAACATGGTTACTAGAGAAATTCTGTTCATTAAATGTATTGTCAGTACCTATATTAAACATAGCTGACGACCTAGTTCTGCGTGGTGGAAGATTGAATCTAATTAGAGAAAGAATATCAGGGGAATTGATTTTATAATTAATTATCTTATATAAAAATATAACTAAATTCAGTGTACGTCTGTTGTCTAGACCTAATCAAGTTATAATCAACTCTGATATGATGAGTTTGATACTCACTTGACCAAATCAGAGAGCCTAATTCTAATTTAGATTTGACTAAACTAAAGTAGAGAGTTTATTGTATTGATATTGGAAAAAGTAGAAGTTTGTCTTAATATAAATCCCAATAAGCGATTTGCAGCTTTAATTACATTTTTTATGTGAGGAGCAAAAGATAACTGATAAGTAACACCTAGATCTTTGATCTCTTCATTTCTCTTTAATATTTCATTATTCATCATATAATTAAAAACAACTGGTTCCTTTAAACGCGTTAATGTCATTACATAAAATTTGGTAATATTAAAATAAAGTTTATTTCTTTGACTCCACTCATACAAATTATGAATGTCCTTTTGTATCATTACACAATCTCTCACAGTTTGTACCTGTTTGTATATTTTAAGATCATCTGCAAAAAGTAAACAGTCTGAATATTTTAAAACCATAGGCAGATCATTATTTATAAAAAGTACAAACAATAGGGGGCCAAGATTAGATCCTTGTGGAACACCAGAATTAGCTGAAAATTTGCCTGACATATTACCGTTATGCTTTACAATAAATGATATATTTTCCAAATATTTTTTTATCAGATTTAACAACTTGTCAGATAATCCAAAAGTATTCAATTTTTGAAGCAATATGGTTAACCAAAAATCTGTAAAAATTGTATCCAACTGTTTTTTTTTTTGATTCTAAGGTACTGTAGACTTTGTTGGAAAATATAAACAAATTAGTATCAACTGATTTATTCATTACAAAACCATGCTGTTGTGGTACTATGTATTTTTCAGCATAATAATATACTACCTACTTTGTAAACAATCATTTCAAATAGTTTTGTAGGAGCACACATAATAGAAATTGGTCTGAAATTCTCTATATTCATTTTATTACCCGTTTTATAAATAGTAGTTAGTAAGGAAGTTTTCCAGTATGTTGGATAAACAGACGAAGAAACAATTAGGTTAAGAATATATATTTAGAATAAATGGGGGAAGTTCATCAATGCCTGCTGCTTTTTTAGCTTTTAGTTTTTTAACTGCCAAATTAAAATCGGCGTCAGTAAATAATTTAAGAGAAGAACAATCAGAATATAAACTACTTTCCGACAAATTTAAATTATAAGTTTCTTTGTTAGACGTATAAACGGAGGAAAAAAAAATTTGCAAAAGCATCAGCTGATTTATTCATATTAATAGGTTCACCCTGATATGAGAAAAGCAACCATTGCAAATAAAAAAGCTAAAGCATTCATGATACATTTATGAAACATTTTAATGCCTCAATTCCAAATATATCCCAACCTAAAAGAAAATGTAATAAAAACTTGAGTTATATGAATACAGATGAAATAAAAGGACAAAAAGAACTAATCTCATTTTTACAGGACGTCATTAAAAACAAATCAACCGACTACAATAAAAAATTATATAAACAAGAGAAAACTAAATACAATGTATTGCTAAAAAATTCAAAACAAAATGACTTACTTCAACAAATTAATATTTCAGACAATAAATCTAAAACTGTATGGCAAATAATAATGAAACACGACGTAATAATAAAAATAAAGGAGAATCTGAAATCGATATAGAAACCTTTAATAAATATTTTATAAATCATTCATCTGATATAGTAGCTCAATAACAATAAAAATAAAATTGACTTAACTGAAAACATCAATCACTTTTCTTAGCTCCTTTTACTGAATCTGACACCATAGATATAATACAAAACATTAAATCAAAAGGAACTCGAGATATATATGACATTAATTATTATTTATTAAAAAACTGCGCCCAAAATATTGTTGTTCCTATTACTAAATTGATAAACTGTTGTTTAGCTGAAGGTACCTTTCCAGATATTTTTAAAACGTCCAAAGTTCTACCATGCCACAAAAAAGGAGATGACTCAGTACCTGAAAAGTTTCGCCAAATACATATTTTACCATGTTTTTATAAAATACTTGAAAGTGTTATAGTAAAACAAATTTTGCATTTCTTTGAAAACAACAACCTGTTTTTTGCGGAACAATATGGTTTTAGACATGGGAGAACAACTACAGAAGCCATGCTGGCTTTAATGAATAACATTCAGGAGTCTTTAGAAAACATATCACAATGCGTAGCTATATTCACTGTTCTGTCTAAAGCGTTTGACTGAGTAAGTCACACATTGTTAATCAACAAACTAGATTAATATGGCATTAGAGGCATTGCAAATAACACATCTGACATAGTTTTCAAAAACTCTGAGATTATGACTGAAGCTAAACAATGGTTTGATAACAATGTATTATTTTTAAATCACAATAAAACTGAAACATGCGTGTCTTCAGGTTGAACCGAACTACTAGTGAAACAATGATCAATAAATTTCTCGGTATATACTTTGACACACAACTTACATGGAACTATCAAATAAATAACTTATGCAACAAGTTGGCAAAATTCACGTTTGCTTTACGTAGAATATAAAATATAGTTAATACAGAAGCAGCAATAACTACTTATTATGGCTTATTCCATTCCAATTTAATATATGGGATTCTAACTTGGGGAAATGCTAGCTTCACTACAAAGACAAAGACTTTTTATCTTGCAAAAATCAGCTTTTCGCTCTATTCTGCAGGTAAATTATTATGAACAATGCCGACCACTATTTAAGCAACTTAGCATAATGACCTTCTTTTTACAATTAGTATTTGAAAACTTAATAAGATGGTTTTCAACAAAAAAGAAACCTGTGTTTTGTCAAATGCATTATAATATAATAAAAACAAATGTTCTCCTTACCTATATCTTTCATTTGGCATATATCTTACCCTTAATGGGGGGGCAAAACTGCCCATTCTCCTTTCAATTATTGTTAGTAATCCTTAAAGAATTGAAAATAAAAATTCTGAAAACATAAAGTTATACACTTTATTACAATATTATTTAAGATTTTATATGCATCTAAAGGTTAATAGGTCTAAAGATAAAATTTAAATAAATAGATATATTCTTAAATTTAATTTTGATGGAAATTTTTATTATTAAAAAAGGATTCTCCCAAAAATTATTTTTATTACATAACCAACAAAATAAATTCAAATCACTTGCGTTCTGTTTATCATTTGTAAATAGTAGAAAAGGATTTACATTATATTGGTGTTACCCTCTAGACGAAAAAGCTTTTAATGTATTTTTTTATTGTAAGAAAAATGAATGCTCCTTGCTCCTGTAGGTAAAAATTAAATATATTGTTCCCTTCTAGCATTTTTATTTTATTTATTTTCGATAGAAAGACATCTTTTTAGATTTTTTCAAAAGATGCCGTTTCAAATTTTCAAAAAGTGACTCCAGAATTTTTCTTGTAAAAGTAAAAAATCCTTAAAATTATGATTTACGTAAAATACAATAAGGTGTACAAATACGTAAAATTTAT